GCGTGAGTTCCCCAACGCACCAGGGACACATATTCATGTATAAAAGACATCACAAAGTGCATTTTGCATGATAGGTCCCCTTTAAATTTCCAGTCAACTACAATGAATTATTGAAAACTCTTTAAAACAAACAAAATATAGGAAGCTTAAGCACGTGTATGCATGTCTAAATATTAATTATGAAGGAGACATAAATAGTAAAAGTGAAAACATCCACCTGCTTGTAAGTATCTGAAATATCCACTGTATTATTTTTGATGAACACCTATAATGAGTTTTCCTAATGAGTGATTCAACATGTTATATCTGATAAAAACAGATCAATATTGTCCTGTCTATATCAGTGTAATGATGGATTAGGGTGAGATCACAGCATACTGAGTACCTGTAAGTCATCAATAATGTCAGAGGCTTTACAGGATGATAGATATTCTGCTGACAAACGTGTGTCTCGGTGTGGGAGTATTCATGCGTGGGCTACGTGTGCGTCACGCTGCTGAATGTTTGAGAACAAATCCCTTGAGGAGAGTGAAATCTTTGTATTTGTGTGTGTGTGTGTTGTTTCTAAAATAAAGACGGCCCTAAAATAATGAGTGCAGGCAGTGACTCAGAAGTTGACATATGGTATTTTCTGTGACATCATCTTTAGCAACGCTACAGCCTGAGCGCTGAGATCCTGCCAGATACTGTTCATGCGGCTTCCAGCATGCTGGCTTTGTGTTTGCTCATTTTATTATTATTTTACTGCCGAATCTAGGGCACGCTGGTGTATGAATGAATCTTGTGAATCAAACTCACCCAGAACCATTGCTTTAACACTTTAAGAGATATTGAAACAGAGATTAGAAGAGCATCAATGAATGACATCTATAATGATGGAGAGGGGCTGGGACCAGAAACGTTTTTTTAAGCTTCTTCTTGCCCGTGTTGGACATGACAGAGACTATTTGACAATGTATGCTTATTTTGTTGAATCTTGAACGTTTTTTGTTTTTTTGTTTTGCATCTCTTTGGTAAAATTATTATTATTATTATAATGTTCAAATAATTGACTAATAATGTTCGTTCAGGCCATTCTTTATTGGGGTTTTCTTATAGAGTTTCAAATCATGGAGGACATCATTTTGATTGATTTAGCTTAGCAATTGACTTTATTGAACGAAAAGTAAACATGTTTTAGTCCTGTTGGCATTTTTTGTCATATGTTACTTTTCTTTTCGTTTTCCAATCATTCAGAGGCATCTGTCACCATCTTGGGTTTGTCAGGCTCAGGAGGGAGAGCGAATCGTTCTTTTTATCACAAAATTGATCGTGAATGTCTGCCTCTTCCTGTCCGTGAGTAAGAGTATCCCTGAGCAGCAAACTGAAGCTAAATTGTCTTTAAAGGCAGCTCTACTGTGATTTGTTTGCTAGGACTGGCCCTCTTAGAGCAAACCGAAAAGTAGTCCAACTGATAAACGACTCACTTGTTTGCATTTAGATTGTCAATGCGTTAATGCGTCTTTTTGGTCCATAAATAAGAAATATCCAATCCTTGAATTAATGTTATTTCCTGTATTCTACAATCAAGTAACTTAAATGTACAGCCAACTACCATGAATTATATAGTATTTTTTTTTTTTTACATTCAGCCTTTTCTGTTTTGGCTCACCTAGCTTTAGCGTAGCACATAGCAGCGGTGATGCTAGGTTAGCATTGAATGAAAACGTGATCTTTCAAAGGCTGTATGTTCACTACCTTAAATACTGTATACTCTCTGTGTCTAGGCTGAGAGCTAAAACATTGGATAGTGTTTGATATAGTTTCAATCTCATTTTTGTTGTTGAAGGCAACAACAACATATTGTATCATGGTTTTCATTGACTGGTCCACTTGGACAGTAGGCTGTCCCATTGTGCCATGCTAATCTGTTAAAATATGTTTCTTTCTCTGAGCTGGAAATGAAATGAACACTTCTGCATCTGCTAAAACAGACAATTGAATGATGACACAAATAATTAACAATGACAGCGAGTGACTCAAACCATGTATTGATCCTAAATGTTCTCTATGACCACAACACATATAAGTTGACATATTTCATTTGTGAATACTAGGCCATCATTTATTTCCAAAAGGGATATGATATTTTTTTGGAATAAAGCTCTAACTGTGTGGGGGTTATACACACACAGGGAAACCCACACTCATGTAAGTGGATGAGAGAATATGCATGAACACAAACCGGTCCTGGCATGGCATTCCCACTGCCATGCCAAGGGACATTATTTGGCAGCTGTCAGCTCTAATAGGAGTATAGCAGGGTGGGAGACAGATCCAGGCTCTGTACCAAGCCTACAAGGGTGCACTATCTGGCAGCTTCAGCAGATCTGCGTATCTCACATCCGTGTGCACGTGAGTATGCGAATGTTTGTGTGTCAGAGGGACTGGTGTATCAGACCCCCTTTGAGATAACGCTTGCTACCAATTGGGCCTCTACAGTGTCCATGTAGCTAACTATCTGTGTGTGTGTGTGTGTGTGTGTGTGTGTGTGTGTGTGTGTGTGTGTGTGTGTGTGTGTGTGTGTGTGTGTGTGTGTGTGTGTGTGTT